GAAAAAAAACAATTCGATCATGGATTACAAAAAAATCGATCAAGTATTACAAAAAAATCTATCATGGATTACCAAACAAATAAAAAAAAAATAAAAAAATAAAAAAAAATAAAAAAAATAAAAAATTTTTTCGTACGGGACTCGCCCCGATTCCGTATAGTGAATCGGCGAGTCATTGTGCAGAATCGTCCGGTTCTCTCTAGAACCGGACGATTCTCGTTTTTTTCGCCGATTCGATCCGTCCATGGCGATTCCCAAGTCGAACCGGACGATTCGACGTTTTTTAAACACTGGTTTGGACTTATATAATGGGCACAACAGGTCGGAACTGGATTCATTTGACGTAGACCCGATTTGAGTCGGGTGTGGGTCCGATTGCAACTTGGACAAAACGGGGCGAGTCATGGTAGACATGGTACATATACATAATAGGTTTACATTTTACATATACCTAGTAAAAGGGTGGGGTTTGCATAGAGCCGAGGCTCTAAACAATCAAATTGGAGCCTATCTTTAAATAGTATCGAGAAAAGTAGTTCACTACTAGAAATATTTGTGATAGCCTTAAAATATATTTTCATATTTAATTATAAAATTTAAAGCTTCAAAAATACTGTAGATCAAGTAGATCTATGACAACTTGGAAATCTTAAAAATTGACGGTCCAAAAACATGCTATAAGATGCACTATTTCCAAAACTTGAAATCCATTTTTTTTCCTCATGTACATGCATCTTGATGTCGAGATGATCAATTTAAAGATATTTTGGCATCAAAACAATTTCTGTCCATTTTTTTTCCTCATGTACATGCATCTTGATGATCGATTTAAAGATATTTTAGCATCAAAACAATTTATTCTAGTGAAAATTTTGAGGTGGGCTCAAATTTGATTGTTTAGAACCTCCGCTCTATATAAACTTTTCCCTTAGTAAAAAGCAGGTGCTTTGCATGTGATTAAAGCACTTACCTCAAAAATCATAAAATTTTCTAGACACAAAATGTAAGAATTTTTTTTTTTAAAAAAAAATGGCACATTGATTATTTTGATTTAATTACCTAATATGCGTTTAGTTCAGTGTCCTCTAAACCATTGCAAGTTCAATGAAATAAATGGCCAAAGATTTGTAGTGATCGGTTAACGAACAAATTGTAAATAAAGAGAAAAAAACCAACCATGAAACGTTTTAGTTAGTGCTATATCAAATAGGAGAAATGATCCTATAGGACCCTCTCCCACCCATGCATGTAGGATCTCAAATGATTACCATTAAATTCAGTACGGATCTCTAAAAAAATCAAATTTTACACTCATGTGATAATTTTTTTAAGGATCCATGTTAAATTTAATGGTGATTCTTTGAAGTCCTACATACATGGATAAAGGAGGGTCATATAGGATCATTACTCATCAAATAAACATACAAAAAAGCCATTTTAAGTCCTAACAAGTTTTAGTTCTCTTATAATTAGCCACAAAAAGGTACGCGAGATACAATGAGTGCTACATCAAATAAACTCACAAAAAATATCCTAAGAAATTTTAAAAAAAAAAAATCTTTGGGTTCTTGCATCAAGTTACATGAGGTAAGAAAACGACAACATTAGGCAAAAAAAAAAAACAGGGAAGAAGTTTTTTATTTTTTTGAGTAAATAAAGGAAAAAGTTTACCTAATGATAGGATAAACGAAAATGTATTCAATACATGCTCATATTAGTTAAAATTATCTATACTACATTATTAAGCCCGAGTTAAGAGATGAACAAGTGTCGTAAAAATAAAATGGGAACCTTTCTTATGAGAGAATGTAGGATAAATGTCCTTAAAAGTTGAGGGATTTTAATGGGTATAAGCTTTTTTTTTGTTTTTTTTTTCACAAAATAGTAAAAGTTAGAGTATGTCTCTTTAGTTCTCTGAAAACACCAAAATTAAAAATGCTAAATAATAAAGAAGTTAAGCTCGAAATTTAAAATAATCTCTGCCTCTCTATCCACAAACCAATTTCAATATAAATGAAGTAAAGATCTTACTTGAGATTTTACAGATATTCAAACTTGTCATAAGAATCAAAACTATATGGAGGAGAGAGTACACCTACGTGTGACATTCCCATTATTTTTTAGGCTCCAAAAATTAGGAAACTATAGTGTATTATATTACTATTCTATTAGTACATTACAACCTTATATAGCAAAATAGTACATTACAACCATATATAGCTTTATGTATTTATTTATTAATATGTTGTGCATGTATAAGGTGAGGATAGATTAACAACCATTGATATGCACATTTCCCTCATTAAAGTTGTTAGTAAATACAAAGATTGTCTTTTCATTGTCTCTCTAATATCTATATGTACTTGCTTTGTCATCCATGATTTCTCCAAAATTCTCTCTAATATCTTCCCATATTTACCTTTTTAATAAATCAGAGACAAAATATCTTTAGATGTGCATAAATGTCCCACATTATGGCTGATTTTTTTAATATGATATTATTATGGCTGATTTTTTAGATATAATATTTTCGTTCTTCTTTATAAATCAAACTAGACACGATTCAACTTGATAGTTATGTCTGGGTCCAATCAAACTTGACCCCAGATCCAGTTGAGTTGGGTCTGTCAGGAATGAGCCAACCCAAACTAGATTTATTTATATCCCTAAATCTAGCCTTCTGTTGACAACTCGGGCTTAATAATGTAGTATAGATATAGATATAATATTTTCGTTCCTCTTTATAAATCAAACTAGACACTACTCAACTTAACAGTTATGTCTGGGTCCAATCAAACTTGACCCAGATCCAATCGAGTTGGGTCCGGTAAGGAATGAGCCAACCTAAACTAGATTTATTTACATCCCTAAAACTAGCCTTCTAACCTTGTTGACTAGGTGGACAACCATGAAAAAAAAAAGTAAAAAAAAAAACAGTTATAAAAAAAACAGGATACTCACTCTAAATACACTTGAGAGATGAGCAAAGATCGATAGATGTTTAGATCTACGTGTTAAGAAACTCAAACTCTAGCATTGTTTTTTCGAGTATCTTATAAAACTATCACATGTACACTATGCCCCCTTAGCCGCAAAGTTTATTTTTTACTTGGAAGAATTTATTCAATCTAAAATTTAGTTATTCTAAAAAAAAAAAAATTCAGTTTTGTAACACTTAAATCTGACTATTCAAAAATTGGATAGTCTGTATTCAATCTTAAGATATTATCTTTTCAAGTGCATAGAGGGCCATAATTAGAAATATTTTTATTGAGATTATTATGTGAGTTGAATATGTTTTACCCCCCCAAAAATTTGGGTTCCTAAAATTAATTTTAAATAAAATTCTACCCCATAGAATAAATGAGCAATCTACTCCCGAGGGAGTAGAATATCTTGGCTAGAATGATTCTAAACTGATCCCATAATTTCGTATGGACAAAGGGGCTGTGACCAGCTCTTTTGCCAGAGGGAACAAAATCATAGTACAGGCCCATGGGAGCAAACTAGAAGGGCTTAGGAGGAAGAAGAGAAGTATTTGGTCATTTTCAAAGGGACACAGTTTGGTCCATGTAGAAATGAGTCGCTCTTAAAAATCTATATTTGAGATGAATTTTCGGACCCAATTTTTAAGAAAACGTAATCTCTAACATGTACATCATGAATATAAAAAAGAAAAAAATTGAAGAAATAAAATAATGATTTTATGAAGAGAACATTTAGACGGCTAATTTCAATTGTTTTTAGATGGACCACCTATATGCATCCATCTTAAAGATGGAAGCTTTATATCTTGGGATCGTATATTGTTGAAATACGGTCCAGCCCGCATGAAACGATTTTCTTTTTCAAAGAGAGACGCCATTTTCGTTTTCCCTCTGTTGATTCAAATCCGTTTTTACTGCAAAATCGTCTTCCCCAGCTTTAGTTTCCCGGGTAGTTGCAGACGCCATTGAAGCTCTTCTAAGGCACAAATGGAGGATCACTCAGAGGACAAGATGAAAGACCCTAACCCTAAAGAAGGGATTGTGGTTTCATTCTATTCTAGTAGGTTCTGGGAAAGGCTCCAAAGTTATCTTCCCTCTGCAAATTCGAGGTTCATCGTCAACCTTTCGAAGCTTTATGTGAGAAACCCTTCTTCCAAATTCAAGAGAGAAAAGCTTGGCCTCCCTCTTCCATTGCTTTCTTCCTCTTTTGAATCATCGAAGTGAGTTTTTGTGGGTTTTTTGTTGCCTTATTGGGTTCACTCTCTGTTCTGAATTTTGTATTTATTTATTTATTTAAGAAATTGAGTTGGAACGACATAATGAAATAGGGTTTTATTCTTCTTATTTAAATTTCAGATTATTTCAATTTATAGGTGTTGATGCACCTGGTTGACTATATGATTGACGGTGCAGAACTTGTAGATATTCGATAATTATTGAATTTATTCTTCTTCTTTCTAAACTTGTTCTATTGATTGTCAAACTCTTTTATGAATATTGTTGTTTCTTTTTTTTTTTTCTTTTATTGAGTTTTGAATTTTGTTTGTGGGGAATTGGTTTGCTAGATTGATTTATGGGGCCAGAAGTGAATTATGTGGAATTTATTTATTATGAATTATGATCAATTTATAGGATTTATTCATGGGGTAAAACTCTGAATGCACAAAATATTTTACTTGTGAACTGGGAATTTCATGTGCAATTTGATTTTTTTTTTTTTTTTGTAGCATGCTACTATAGATTTTATCAGTTTAAATTGATCCAATGTGGTAACTGGGAAGTCTTCCCTTGAAACTTTAAAAACAGACGAGGTTTATGTCCTTTGTGAACATTTGAATTCGTGTTCTGAAGCTATCCACCATCTTCTTGAATCCGAATCCTTTTTGAATCTTCAGTGAATAAACTGGATCAGGCCATTAAAGTAATTTGTAGTCTTTGCGTTAAGTGTCTCATTTGAACCCACTCTGTGCAAACACAGCTATATAATTTGTGTTTATTTATCCTATGTCTTAACTATAGATTTATTAGAAAAAGTATGTAAATTCGTCTATGTGCTTCAATTTAATTGATTCACATGTTAAGATTGCAAAATTAAGTAAAATTCAATGATTTAATATGGAATAAAATATATGAATGATGAGAAAATTTCTCATGTAACATAGACCTTCTTTGACGATCAATGCTTTGCCTGATTCAAATAGAAATATCATATATATAAACATAAAAGTATCGAATTAATTGTACTTCAGCATCTTTGAGTATGACTAGATTCTCCCTACCATATTTGGATCGTGAGCCTAGCGTTCCCTTCAATAAAATCAAGAAGAACGCCACCCTCTTTCTTATTCAGGAACCCATTGAGGGGTCCCGGCCCTCGAAGGGGAGAGTGGCTGAGTGGTCAAAAGCGACATACTGTAAATCTGTTGAAGGGACCCAGCCGGAAGGCTCTAGAAGCCCAGAAAGCTCTAGAAGCCCAGAAAGCTCTAGAAGGGAGAGGCCAAAGTGCTTATCAATCAAGCAAATAGGAGGGGACCCGGGCATCCAATCCTAAGATACGACATGCCTAGACCATGCCTCAATGCACACTATGGGCTCCGAGTTGACGGCCTTCATCTGGCTCGAGTCTAAGTCCCTGCTAGCCGCTTCACTATTCAATTGATAATATATTATAGCACAAAATTCAGAGCCCTTCATGCTGCTTCAGATAATTTAAGAGTTCCAACGTTTGATACAATTGGCACTCCTCCGGTTGTGAAACATGAACAAATAGCTGCAAGAGAAGAGTTTTTTCAGCTTAAATGTTGTTCTTTCAAGAAACAAGATCTTGAAAAACATTTTTCAGAGATGAATAAGAGGTATCATAAGATAGGAGGAATTGATGATGTAAATTTAAAGCACTTTTATCATGAATCTATACCTGCTACTCTTGGCGAAGATGCCACAAAAACAATGGAAAACCAAGGATTTACTATTCAAAACACCAGTTTTGTTGAATTATATCAGTTTGTTCTCCATGTTTTAGAAAGACTGTGCAATCAAGTCGAATTTGTGAAACAAATGGAAAAAAATAAGTATTTATTGGGAAAATCTTGTGATTAACCATATCTCAAGATTAAATGTGATTCAGAAAAACAATGTGCATGTCCAACTACTTCGAAAGGCTACAAAAAGCTTGAACAGAGAAGGACAAAGAAGAAATTTAAAAGGTTCAAATATCTTAGAAGGTCAAGATTTCGAGGTTTCAGACACAAGAAAGGAGACCGATGTTATGTCTGTGGCAAAAAAGGGCATTTTACAAAAGATTGTCCTAATCAGAAAAAGAAAAAAAAGATAATCCATCTCCTGTCACAAGTTTTAGATGAAGAATTTGATGACGATCTAGAGTCTGTGTTTTCTCTTGATGAAGAGCAAAGTCCTAAAACATTATTGTCCATTGCATATTCTGAAGACAATGAGGTAAATGAGATAAGCAACACACAGAATTCAAAGATATTGTCCCCACAGGAAAATATTGCAGACATAAACAGTTGACCCTTCCAGCCTACCCCAATAGCCCTGATCCAAATATTACAAGAACACTATTCAAAACCTCTGACCATATCAGCATTTTTTGATACAGGAGCATCAACTAGTATCTTAAAACCAAATTTGCTACCAAAACAGTTTTGGGAAACATGTAACCAAACTTTTCGGGGTTGCCATAAACCAGATCAACAAACCCATCTTGATAAAACTTTTTCCAAAACTTGTTATCCAACATATACTATTAGGATCCTATTTACCCAATAAAGAACTTTTACTTGGATTTGATGTTTTACACCAAGTAAAACTTCAATGAACCTCCAAAGGATTACATTATAGAAACCTAACCCTACCTTGGATAGATTGTATAGATCAACTTTACTCCCTGGAAACCATTCAACAAAAAATCTTGACAGACTGCTGTGCCAATTCTCACTCCGAATTTCTCAAAAAATGTACCAATCCACTTTGGAGAAACCATAATTTTTATGTTAAACTGCCTTTTAAGAAAAATGAGGACATAAATCCTACTAAGGCTTCGCACAGAGGTTTAAATCCAGATCTTTTGGAACAAGCTAAATTAGAAATGCAAGATTTGATAAAGGAACAGTTAATTGAGCCTACCAGTTCTCTATGGGCTTGTGAAGCTTTTTATGTTAATAAAAGAGCATAACAAATTCGAGGAAAACTTAAGTTAGTAATCAATTACCAACCTTAAATGCTTTCCTTGCAGATGATAAATTCCTTGTGCCAAATCAAATTGCACTATTCACTCAGATTTATCACGCACACATATTTTCTAAATTTGATTTAAAATCTGGATTTTGGCAAATAGGAATTCACCCAGATGACTGTCCCAAAACAGCTTTCTGTTTACCAAATTATCATTTTCAATGGACAGTCATGCCTTTTGGTTTGAAAAATGCACCCACATATTTTCAAAAAGTATTAAGTAACATTTTCGAACCAATCTCAACACAGGTGGTGATATACGTAGATGATATATTCCTCGTCTCCCCTGATCTTGATAGTCATATACTTCTGTTTGAAAAATTTCATTCCCTCTGTTGTAAATATGGAATTATGCTCTCTGAAAAGAAATGTGTCTTTGCCACAACAGAAATAGATTTTCTTGGTATGCATTTCCATAATGGAATGTATAAACTTCAGCCTCATATAGCTAAACATCTACTAGACTTTCCAGATATCCTATCTTCTGTAAAGCAAATTCAGCAATTTTTAGGAATTGTAAATTATATGTGCCCTTTTATTCCTAAGCTTTCTCTCTTTACTAGTCCACTCTATTTTTTACTAAAGAAAAAAACACCACTATGGACAAGAAAATAGACTGAGTGTGTTTTAGAGCTCAAAAGATTATCTCAAAATTTACCTTCTTTGAAACTCCCATCTACAGGAAAAAGGATTTTACAAACAGATGCCTCAAATGAATTTTGGGCATGTATTTTGCTTGAAGAAAAAGAAAAAGAAAGGATGATTTGCGGATATAAAAGTGAAAAATTCAAAGAGTATGAACTTCATTACCATTCTACATTTAAGGAAATCCTTGCAATAAAAAGAGGAGTTGAAAAATTCCAATTTCATCTAATAGCACATTCTTTTCTAGTAGAGATGGATTTGTCAGCTTTTCCAAATATGCTTAAGTTCAAAAATAAGATTCTTCCAAATCCACAATTACTCAGATGGGCAAGTTGGTTTTCTCAATGGAATTTTGAGTATAAACATATTCATGGAAAGAACAATATCTTAGCTGATATGTTTTCTTGAAAGAGATTTTTTGAAGATATTGTTCTTCAAGTTGTTCTCTTTTTAGGAGCAATAATCAGAATAGATGATGAATCCAGAGATGTTCCTGATGAAATATTTGACATTATACTCACCAAGACAATGCAAGCAAGAAATGAGATTATGCAACAAAAAATGCGTGAAATATTAATCAGAAATTATAGAGAATGTTTTCAAGGAATTCGATGCCATCTTACATATCTTTTTTTATCTTTATTTCAGACCAGACATTATTATAATATACCTAGAGAAGCACTTTATTTTTTCTGGTATCTAACCCAAAATCACCATATTTGCTTTAATTTCCATGCAAGGAAATTATTGTTCTACCTCTGACACTGTCATTTTCTACAATGGAACAATTATAACCACCCCAATCCCAGAGCTTTCAACTTTTACAAGTTCCTTTTAAAGCATTATCATTATAATCAATGGATTGAATCTTTTGGTTATTATCACAGACCCTATATCATTATAGCCTTTCACCTAGACCTTCAATCTCAAATTTATTTTGAACATACTTTCATTACCCAACACCCCCATATACAGACCATTGGATGGTATGATTCTAACTTCCTGAATTTTTGAAAATTTCAAACAGAATTATGGAAAGAGTTGAAAATTCTCATGTGCTACATTAATAGAATCTAGCCAGAATGGATTCCTTTGAATGTCTATACAGGAACAACAATATGGAATGATGAGACTCCCCGAGGAGCTGCCCTGCTACATCAACTACATATATGGCTTGCTGATCACCCTCCTCATGCTGAAGCCACAGCCAGACAGCTCTAGTGATGATACCTATATTGGACCTCACATAGCCCAGCTAACCATTCTTCACCACGTTATAATTCTGATGGTTTACCCTTAGATTATGGCACGGATTAAAGAATGAAATTACTGTTCAAGATGAGGACGGATTACTGTTCAAGATAAGGAAGCATTTACTTTTCACTGTAGATGTCGCCCACCTGTCCACTGTTCATTTACTTTTCACTGTAGATATCGGCCACCTATCCATTGTTCATCTACTTTTCATTGTAGATGTCGGCCACCTGTCCACTGTTCATCTACTTTTCACTGTAGATAATGGCCACCTGTATAGGCCACCTTTTTATTTTATTTCTGTTTGAAGTCCGGGTTTCAAATCCGGTGCTTATAAAAGCCTTCATAGGTTGTATGTGAAGGCAGCGTGCTGCTTAGAGCGTCTCAGCCTAGTTTCCTGCTTTGGTGTGCTTTTTCTAGTTTTCGCTTCATCTTGTAAGCTCTCTATTATCTGTTAATATTGCTTTGGTGTGCTTTGATTGCATTTCTCTGACTTCATTATGCTCAGTTATTCTGTTTTCTTCTAGTTATTCTGTGATCTTCTAGTATGCATATCTTAAATGGTATCACTTGAGAATCATAAAAGTATATGCGTACCTTAAAATAGGACTCCTAAAACAATTGCAGTGCATCCAACTAACCTTCGTCAAGATAATTGGAATCATCATTGTTATTGTTATTTATCTAGATCATTGTGTCCTATTCACCTGGTGAAACTTATCTGGTTTATGAATGAAAGATGTCAATGCCTGATCTGTATTTAGGCATGAGATGTATGCCTCACTCTAGAAGCTTATGCCTCCGAGATAACACACATCTCAGGCGGCCACAAGGAGCTTTAGCTATGCTTTAGGCCTGAGGCGTACATCTCAAGTCTTATACCTATGTCAATTATGACATTGATACTGCAATAGATGTGCATGTTCATGTGGGTGCAGCATAGTAAACCCATGAATTATTGCAATACATCATAAATAATTCTATCCTGGTCTGTGGAACAAGATACCTGATGCTTTGACTTTTAATAACATTTTAGGTTGAAATGTGTGTGATGATTGAAAGTACTGAGAATCTTCCTCCCAATTTTGACTGATGGTGTGTGTGTGTGTTGTTGAGGGGTGGGGGGGGGGGTGGTTATCCTTTGAGTTTGGACATTTGTCTGATCTATTAAATGGTTGATGACATCTAAAATCGGGTTGGAGGTTATAAAATGACCTGGTTGAACCATTCTCCTGTTTCTTATACTTCACCTTCTTGCTCTATGTAAGATGTTTTATTCGTAGTGGTTTAGCTGTTGCTTTCATAGCAGATGACTTGTTATCTTAGGTGCAATATTTGTTCTATTGATGATCCTTAATTTGGAAAAAAAAAAAAAACATTCTAGATTCAAGTGCAACCTACTCTATTGGTTAGTTACCTGATGCAAACAGTACGTGTGCAGATAGTCATCGTGTTATTTTTTTGTAGGGTTCTTACAGAAACAACTTGCAGAGTTATTGAGCTTTTAGATGACATCTTGGTGCAAATCCTATCAAGTCTACATGATATCCAAAAAAATCTGCAATTTTGGCAATCACGTGCTGAGGTTGTTATCTCTTTTTATTACTCTCATGTCCCTTTACAGTTGTAATGGTGATGTCCCAGGACTGGAGTATAGTAGATGGTATTCACTCTTTTCAGATACTGCTTCAACCTAATAAATTGGGTGTTGAACAAAAAATCTCTTGTGATGTCAGGGATCAGATGCACGCAAAGTTTATTTTATGGTATTTGAAAGAGGACCTCTGGCTTTCATTCGAGGAACAGTTCAGCTGCTTCGTGGATATGCCTCTGAGGGGTCTTCAATGCAACATCTTGTCCTCTCTGCTGCTGAACGAATTTCTGAGAGGATAGCTGTTTTAACATGTCTTCAAAATCACTTGGCCATGTTTCTTGCTCAGGTTTGAGTCACTGTAAGAATTTGATTTAAGAAATATTTGCCCTTTCTTCCTTTGCCTTGCAGATTAGTGTTAATCTGACTGAATTGTCGACCGATTGGTCAGAGGTGTTTCTGAGCCCAAGAGCTGTGGCTGGATTTTGGTCAGGGAATTTGGCTGGTGGGAAGGAAGGGAGGAAGATGTATATTAAAGGAGAAAGGACATTTGGCTAGAGCCTCCTACTCTATAATGATAGAGAGCAGAGATTGAGTGCTAAGCCTTCACCCATGTCCTACTCCTGCGTTATAAAGACTGAGAGCGAGTGCATGTGCCAAGCATTCACTCATGTCCTATTGCTGCCTAATTATGTGAGACGGCCGAAAAGAATGGCAAACAATGGCTGTTGTGTTGACTTGATAGTGGTTTTGGGAGATCATAGAACCTAAGCCCCTTCCTCAACACCAGAAATTTGACATATTTTGTTGAACCATTCTTCCTCCTGCCCTATAATGATAGAGAGAGTGCCAAGTCTTCACCCAGGTCCTACTCCTGTCTTATAATAATAGAGAAAGTGCGTGTCAAGCTTTCTTTCATGTCCTATTGTGACTCATTATGCAAGAGGACAGAGAAGAATGGGAGACAATGGCAGATGTGTTAACTTGATAGTGGTTTTGGGACATCTTAAAACCTAAGCGGCTTTCTGGATGCTGCAAAGTTGACATGTTTTTGTTGGACCATTCTTAAGGGTGTGGGAGGTCTTAGGAGACCTATCTTCTCAGTGATGTCCCCTTCGAAACAGCCCTTCTGGAGTGGGTTTGACAGGACCAACACCCACATTGTCTGAACTCTGGTCTGGTTTTGGCAATCATTAATTAGATTAGTGCCCCGAAATGTTCTTATTCTCATTAATGTAGAATATTGATCATATATCCTAGTTGTCTCATTCATCTTCGATTTGCCCTTTGTTGTGGAAGTTATTGATTTACTTTTGTTTGTAGATTTATTCCTTTTATTGATAATGTACTACTGTTTTCTTTCACTCCAACTTTTTAGTACCTTTCCACAACAGTATTTCGGATTGTATATGGTAGATTTTCGTCCTAGTCTAGGTAGATGTGACGCAATGAAACTAGAGTTCCTCAAAAGAATTATGTGAATTTCTACTTTTAAAAAATATACGGTAAATTTATCATTTAATTTATTTTTTAAATTTATTTTTTAAAACCTTAATTGGCTATGCTCATTGTTGTTTTTGCAGGTTTACATAGAGGTTGACAGGTTTGGGATAGCCTTAACCAAGGATTCTAATGTCAAGTCATTGCGTTCGTTCTTGATTACCATCAATGCTCTTTTCAAGAGATTGGAGCAGTCATATGACCTTCCCCAGGTAAGTTATATAGCCTATGAATTATAAATTTTGTTTGTGCTTTGTTGTCAGGCAAGATGGAGGCACTTTCTCACACTATGAAGGAATGATAAGTGATCCTCATTTATATCCTGAATCTGAAATATGAAATACACAATTCTCTAATGCAATAAATATTGTAAATTCTATAGTGACGGTGCAAAAACAAATAGGAAAATGATTAAACTTCGGTTGCCACCAACAAATGTCTTCAACACAAAATCTTGTAAAGAACAATGTACAATGATTTCAATTATGTTCTAGTGTGGAAGTACCACATATTCCATTTGTTGAACAGTTTGTTAATATAATAAATACAACAGAAAAAAATAACCAATAATAACAATAACAACAAAAGAAAATAAATAAATGAGATAAAAGGATACAAATAAATAAATGAGAGAGAGAGAAAAGGAAAAGAGTGTGTTTCTAAATCTGTTAATGGTTGTTCTCCTATAAAAAGATTATTTTGGTGACTTAGAATTTTTATACTGAAATCTGTGAACTAGATGTTTGATGAGCCGCAGCAAAGTTTAATGTACTTGTTCTTGAGCTTCCATAAGTAGAAGCAGCATAAATAGGAGGACCAACATTAGTTGATTACATGTCAGAGCAGTCTGACTTACACTGAAAGGACTTTTGTTAAAATATTAATAGGTTATATATTTATTGACCTTGTGCATCTTCTAATATGAAATTCTAGCTCACACATGTTCTACTATCTAGCTAGTTTGTTGCGTATACTATATACAATTCAGATCAAAATAATTGATCTAAGAACTGGATGGTAAGTAGATAACACAATTTTTAGTACTATACGCCAACATGGAGATTGAAGTCTTTCAATGACTATTTCTCCCCCACTGTGTACATATTTTCAGTAGCATGTAATGTCTTTTTGTTGTTTCATCTTAAAATTACTAGTGATGCAATCATTTAGAAAATTGTGACATCCTAGCTCATCATTCAATCCATGCTCAGTTATTTATACTGTTTTTTTTACATAACTCTTTGCCTGACTTATCCCGTTTTAAGGGCTTTGCAGAGTGACTACCCTAGCAGTCATGTTGATAGTAATCGCAGTGCAATTATACTCCAATTCGAGGAACTTCCAGAGGACCTTCAGGAGAAGTCTGATTGGCAAGATGTTGAAATTAAGGATACCGTCAATGTGGTTTCATCTAATCTCAAAAGGCTTGATTCTTACTTGTCTCTCCTTGTAGGTGGAAATTTGTCATGATAATATATTTATTAACTTGAAATGTTTATTAGTTAGAAATATTTACGTTTACGTGTGATCAAGCAGTTCTCTCTTCACATAAATGGTTATCTTGCCTAGAAGTTGCTTCTATTTGCTAGAGTTCATACTTCCTTTCTTTTACTTCATGTGGAAACTATGCATTCCATTTCATTTTATTCTTATCGAGTTATTTTTCATTTCCTTCACTTTTAGCTGCTCTCAAAGCAGCTAAAGTTATGTTTTCTTTTTATTATCTTGTGATATTAGTTTTTGCTTTGGTAGTTTGTAATTGGTGCATATATGGTGGTAGCCAAATTGTCCTGGCTATTAAAATAAATAAATAAATGAATTACTATATATATATATATATATATATATATATATGGTTATGTTAGGTGCTCACACTATAGAGTATTTTATAATTGTACTCAACAAATTTTGGAAACTTATATACCCTTGTTTTGTACATGAACATTTTTTAAGAAGTGTATTTTTGGTCATTAGGAGGGGTGTAATATCATCCACATGGGATGTGACATCATCCACATAGAGCACACTAGTGGCATTTAATGTTCCATGTGGTGATGTCACATCCCCATATAGATGACGTCACACCCCTCTTAATGACCAAAAATACCCTTATTAAGAAATGCTCTATGTACAAAACATGGGTATGTAAGTGTCCAAAATTTGTTGAGTATAATTATAAAATACTCTATAATGTGAGCACCCTAACATTTATATATGGGAAAAATTTATGGAAAATGCTGAGATTAGCCCACTAGCTCATATGAACATATGAGCTCAACGACCCATATTGAATTTGGGCTGATTTGACGATCACGACCTCATTTTGTGTTTGAATTTTAATTTTTTTTACAAATCCAAATAACTTGAAATTTTAGGCGTGTATTCTTCAAAAATATCAGAATCTAATAAAAAAATAAAAAAAATAATTTCTAAAAAATAAATTGACCAAAATACCCTTGAAAAATTTTCGAAGATATTTTAGCCAATTTAATTTTTACAAATTAATTTTTAAATATTTTTATTAGGTGCACCTTGATGAGAAGCATGGATGCCTAAAATTTCAAGTTATTTGGATCTGTAGAAAAAAATTAAAATTAAAATACAAAATGAGGTCGTGACCGTCAGATTGGCCAGATTGAATCTGGGCCGTTGGGCTCATATGTTCATATGAGCTAATGGGCTAATATCAGCATTTTCCAAAGTTTATATAAGGCTGCAACCTTAAAATGTAGAATCACATATGCACCTCAAAAATCTATCGGAAATGTTGTTTTAATGATGAAAAACCCTCTAATCGATCATCGAAATATATGAATATGAAAAAAAAAAAAATTTGAGTCCTAGAAACAGTGCATCTTGCAACACAATATCTAGACCGTCCATTTTCATGATTTTCATATATTAATAGATCTACTTGACATAAAACATTTTTGGAATTTAAAATTTTCTAATTAG